GCCTCGGCAGGATAGATGCATCTATGGATCGCGCCGCACGTCCCTCGATAGTGTACACGACACTCTGGATCGGGTCGTACGTCCTCGACAGAAATCGTGCTTAATAATAATAATAATAATAATTACACGATACTTGGACAGTTCATTACAGCTTGTAAAGTTATTTGATAAATTAGAAATTTATTGAAATTAAATTGTAGCTTGTAAAGCTATTTGATAAACTGAAATTTTTATTGAAATTGAAGGATTTACTTAATAGATTAGAAATTATTTGAAATGAAGGAATTTAATTATTATACTGAGAATTATTGGAATTGAAGGAATTTAATTACTTCTACAGGTTCAATTAATTATTGTTAATTATGTGAATCATCGTTGATATAAATATTTTTATTTTCATGATTATTTAATATTATTAACCCATAGTGAGTGTCATAGTCGGCCATCTCGTCTCTACATCTTCGAGATTAGGCTTGATACTTACTGGGTACACATTGTTTTTGTACTCATACTGCACTTGCTGCATATTTTATTATGCAGGTACATATATGTATAGCGGCCTTGTGGGCGCAGAGGTGTTATAAACAAATTGTGGGAACATAGGTGAGCTGCATTCTATATTACGATCCGCAGCTAACAGAATCTCCTTCAGAGTTATTATATTTTCCTGTCTAATTTGTATTCTGGACATATGCTGTATTTTATTTTAATTCCCTAGTAAATGCTCATACACTTGTGACACCGAATTTTGGGAATGATTGTGAATTGTTTAGAAATTTAGCTGCAAAAATATTTATCATTTACTCTATGAGTTTTTATCTCTACAATTTTATTAAAGAATTTTTTTTATTTCAAAAATACTAAAATGGGTAATTAAGTTAATTGATTATGGTTGGCTTGCCTGACAGTGGTGTCCGGTGCCATCACGACCTTTTGAATTTTGGGTCGTGACAGTTTCAGTGGTTAAGCTTACAGAAAAATGTAGTGTTATACTTCAAAATAAGCTCCCACAAAAATTGGGTGATCCGGGAAGTTTTACAATTCCTTGTACTTTGGGAGGTGCTCATTTTGAAAAGGCGTTATGCGATTCAGGTGCTTCAATAAATCTAATGCCTTTTTCAATTTTCAGGAAATTAGAGACCAAAATGAATTATTCAAAATATCCTTGTTAGAGTTGACAAATTTGTATTCCCAGTAGATTTTATAGTACTTGAAATAGAAGAAAATACTGAGGTACCATTACTTTTAGGTAAATCATTTCTCGCAACAGGGAGAGCAATTATTGATGTTCATCAAGGACACTTAATATTGCGAGTTGATGAGGAAAGAGCGATTTTTGACATGCAAAAAATGATGAAATTTCTCGGAGATGAGTCATCATCATCTTGTTTTCAAATTGACTTACTAGATGATCTTGTAGACGAATACAAAGATAATCAGTTAATTAGTGATTCATTGGAGAGATGTTTGGCGAGGTCAGGTACCATAAGTGATGATAACCCCATAATTAGAGAACAAGCTGAAATACTAGAAAAAGAGTCAGAAAATGAGAAAGTCTCACAAGGAGTTCAATTAAAAATTGAACTCAAAGAACTTCCTTCTAATTTAAAATATGTATTTCTTGAACTTGAATTATTTCCAGTAATCATTTCATCTTCTTTGACTATAGAACAGGAAAGCAAACTAATTGAAGTCCTGAGAAAATACAAAAGAGCCTTAGGGTGGACTATAGCCGATATCAAAGGAATCAGTCCAGCTATTTGTATGCACAGTATTCTTATGGAGAATGATTATAAGCCAATAGTTCAACACCAAAGGAGACTAAACCCAGCAATGCAAGAAGTCGTCAAAAAAGAAATGATGAAACTTCTAGCAGCAGGCCATGGTTTCTACTGTTTTCTTGACGGATATTCTAGGTATAATCATATACCAATTGCTCCAGAAGATCAAGAGAAAACCACATTCACATGCCCCCAAGGTACGTATGCTTATCGAAGAATACCATTTGGACTATGCAACGCTTCTGCTATATTTCAGCATTGCGTGTCGGCAATCTTCTCACACATGACTGGAAAGTTTCTTGAAATCATTATGGATGATTTTATACTTTTTGGTAAGACATTTGAAGATTGTCTCTATCATTTAACTTTGGTGCTTAAAAGATGTGAAGAGACAAATTTGGTTCTTAACTGGGAAAAATGTCACTTCATGGTAACAGAGGGAATTGTTTTAGGACATAAAATTTCTGCTAAAGGAATATAAGTTGATAAGGCTAAAATTGATCTAATAGCAGAATTACCCTCTCCTACCATTGTTAAAGGCATTAGAAGTTTCTTAGGGCATGCAGGTTTTTATAGAAGGTTTATAAAAGATTTTTCAAAAATTTCAAAACCTCTGACTAACCTACTGATGAAAGATATGAAGTTTGAATTTTCAGATAATTACAGGAAAGCATTTGAGATTCTCAAGAAACAATTGACGAATGCTCCAATTGTTATTTCTCCTAATTGGAGCGAACCATTTGAAATAATGTGTGATGAAAGTGATATAGCAGTTGGAGCGATATTGGGACAAAAGAGAGACAAGATTTTCAGGCCTATTTACTACGTCGGTTCTCCTCAATGAAGCTCAAAACAATTATGCCACAACTGAGAAGGAGCTACTTGTAGTAGTATTTGTATTTGACAAATTTCGTTCCTATTTGATAGGAACAAAGGTTATAATTTATACTGATCATGTATCTTTAAAGTACCTCTTAACAAAGAAAGATGCTAGACCAAGATTACTAAGATGGATACTCCTTTTGCAAGAATTCAATCTTAAAATAAAAGATTGAAAAGATTTTGAGAATCAAGTAGCTGATCATTTGTCTCGTTTGGAAAATCCACCTTATGAGATAAAAGATATCAAAGAGGAATTTTCTGACGAACATATATTTTCAGTCACAACCGTTATAAATCGACCACCTTGGTTTGCTGATATTGCCAACTACTTGGCTGGAGGATGGATTCCAAAAGATTTTTCTTATGAACAAAAGAAAAAACTTAAAAAAGAAGCAAGACATTATTACTGGGAAGATCCTTACTAGTTTAAATTTTGTGCAGATGACATAATCAGGAGATGTGTACCGAAGAAAGAAATAAACATCTTAAGTCATTGCCATGATGGGGCTGTAGGAGGACACTATGGAGGAAGAAAGACAACAGCTAAAGTACTTGAAGTTGGATTTTTATGGCCTACTTTATTCAAAGATGCAAGGAATTATGTCGCCACTTGTGATAAATGCCAAAGAATCGGTAACATTTCAAAAAGGGACGAAATGCCTCTTAACTCTATTTTTGTGTGTGAAATC